GCATTTCGATGGTATTTGTCGAACCATTGGCGAAGTTAGCAATATGCATAGAATCGACATAAAACTGCAGTCCACGCCGACTAAAAGTTAAGTTACGATTCGTCGACAATAATTTAAAGATTTCCAGTTCCCGTTCTTTATAATCTCGTTGAGATTCATAGGTTTGGTCGGGCAATGAATAACTACTCCATATTTTTAGATCCAAAGTCAGTGAGGTAACAAGTAATGAAAAGGATAACGGCAATAATACCACCATGTTCAGCCAAGTCAAATTATCCAATTTTTTGAATAATTCAATTTCGATTTAATAATCAGCGACATTGTTAATATTTTTAGCTGATGCTACTATGAAGAAAAAATAGGACGAATAATGTTGAAAGTAACTGCATCGCTTGTACTCAATAATTTCTTCAGTCAACTTTTTGTCCGAATTAATTTCACCCTGGCATGTCCAGAGGATTTAGAAATCCAGGAGGAAACAACTGGCAATTTCTCTGGTAGAAGACTTTTTAATTTTTTATTCGAGGAATATTTTCAAAATTTCATGGAGTTAGTTTCCGGACCCCAAAATTCTTATCACAGCAAATAATAAGTAAAATGAGTAAATTGGAGGAAAAGGAAATTAATGATGAAAATAGGATGAAAGATGATCAGTCAATAAAAAATGAGCAGTAATTAAAAAAGATGAATTAAAGGTTGACTAATTAACAATCGCAGATAGCCATGGAAATAAGAGTATTTTCCAGCATCAACGATAGAAATTATTTCGGCAGAAAGTTTCGAAAAGAGATTCAACTTGTAGCGTTCAGCGAGCATATTCCACTAACTAACTAATCAACGAGCACTTAACGCCACACAATATTGCAGAACGCCAATTGTTCTCAAAGATTTTCCAGCATGTAAATATAGCCAGTGATTAACAAGTCTCCTTCCTATCTCGTTACATTCAGTACTTAATAACAAAGGCTGGTAAATGCCTTTCTTCTTCCGAACTATACAATTCAGCTTTTTCCAGTTTTTTATTTATTTATTTATTTTTTTAAATCTATGTCTTATCTCTTAAATGAAAAAAATTTTGTGGACAAAATCGTTTATGATAAGAGATAAGATGAAAATAAGAGGGTATGTTGATTAGATAATTAATAAATAATCGCATACTAGCTGACTAAATTCATATCATGCGTGTACTGACTGGCCTTTAATTGATTGTTTATGTAAACCTGAAAGTAAAATCCTGGTGGACTGGCGATCTATCTTTAATTCTGCCTCTCTAAGTGCTTCTTCGATTTCGCCCTAACCATCAGTGAAACTCATACAGAATTGATCAACTCGGTTAGATCAAGATATTGAGCATTCGTTGTATTTGTAAAAAAACTCATTTTGAATATGCATCGATTTATGTCTTTTTGCTCGTCAGTAGAAATATTCTTCGAAACCAAGTTGATATTGGTAGAATGATAACGAAGGTGGTAATAATCCTTAATTAACCACGGAGCTCATTTAAATAAGCTCATTCCGCATCATTTCCGCAAATATTAGGTAAGTAAAAAGGTATACATGAGAGTTCCCTTGGCTTTTTCTTTCTATTGTTATTGTCTAATTTTTCTTTCAATTTTAAAAGTTACAAACGATATTTGATGAGCGAAATGAGCTTATGTAAATTCCATGGTTAATTATTGTTTACGTTTGATTCATACAAATATAACATTCGATTGCATGGAATCACGGATTCGATTTAAATTTCAGTGCTTATTTTGCCATTTTTCCAAAATAAAACAAATTTGCAGCCTAAATTTCCAAATAAGCAGTCCAAATTTATCTTATCACCGACATTCGACATTTCGACATACCAAATCTAAGCACAATATTTTTGCCCAATATTTTTAGGTTTATAAATTATTAATTAATTATAAATTAATTATTTGATATATTTTTTATACATATTTGGTCACTGAAACGAAAATTGGTAATATTCTTTCTTCAGTAAAGGATTAATTATGTGCAAATTTGCAATGTTAAATTTTTCGGGTGTGAAACTTTAATTGCGAAATCTTCTTTATTTGATGATTTGTTCTATAGCGACTGAAATAATTTCGTTATTTTTCGATTATTCCCCCATATATATTCATTCATTTAAAAAATTTCTGGGGTTATTCAAGGAAATAAAAGTAAGCGAATTGGCAGATCGACCTGCATCTTAACGACTAATTTCTAAACAAACAGTAAATGTTGCAGCCAATTGGTCCATTAAATCATAAATTAATTCATCAAAACTTCGAAATTTGTACTAGATTTTATATTAAATAGAAATTTCTGCAGATAATTTGGTGGAGCATATTTTTCTAATAGCTGCCACCATTACGGGTCTGGCTTGCTTCATTAGTGACTTGCACAAAATCACCTCTTTTATTACCGTTTAAGTATCGCTGAGCCGCCTATGCGCTCAAATCTCCTCTGACCCCATCAAACTGGATTTTGATTCTCCTCGCTTTTGAAACCAAGGTTTAACAAGTAACGATTTACTTCATTCTGATGGACGACGAAGAATGTGGCAAAACCATCGAAGCATTAAATAATTAATAATTTTTTTTAATGTTAAATAAAACAATTTCTAAATAATTCTTATAAATTTTCTTTCACTTTTTCCATTTTTTTCACAAAAAGCTTAGTTTCGGTTCATTAAAAGTTTAAGTCTCAGGAGTCAGTTAAATCGCTTATCATTTCACCTTCAGCGAATAACGGAAGTTCGTTCATCGAGGCATTTATCGCGATTAATAATAACAATATTACTCGCGCTTCGACTCTCAATTGAAATTCTCTGGAGAATTTCCAATCGCTGCTGAGAGGCAATGGCGAAGGCGCAAGGCGAGAAATGGTTCTTTCATTTGCTTAATTCAGAACAAATGCCAGACTGTTATGAGTTGTTCTTGCGATTTTCTTCGCATAGCCAGTTTTTTTATCACTAAAAAAATAAATTTAACAGTCGTTTAATGGATTTCACCGCTTATCACCGGCGTTTATCGTATTTCATAAATATGTAATTGATGAAAAACAATTGTCTCTGCCTTTGCCTTCGTTAACACAAACGACAACATCACTGCAGTTGTAAAAATCAATCATATAAAATGCAACAAAAAGGGCTTTTTAGGCTTTCTTATTAAAGCAGAGAATGGCACATTCAATGACGCTTCTTGCGTGCTCGAGGAGAAAGTCTGGCACATAAAGCGACGTCCGCTACGACGCAAGTAGTGCGAAGAAAGCTGAAGCGGAAGCTCATCGACCCTCGCGTAAAACTGGATTCACGCATTTAAAATGATGAATTTGTAGAATCTTGTAAAATTTATATATTTTACAAATTTATAACTTTTTTCACAAATCTGGTGGTGCCCTTCCGTCAATTTCTTTAAGTTTCAGCTTTGCAACCATACTTCCCCCGGAACCGAAAAACTTTCGTTTCCGGTAAGCTACCCGTCAAGGCGTAATATGCTTTAAAAAATATGGTGCTGTTAAGAGTATTTTATATTCTTAAACGGATTGATTTAAATTTGGGATTTTCTGGATGTTTCGCGAAGGTCGAACACGAAACGCAGTTTTGTTGATGGCTGCATCATTTCTCGCTAACATTGTTAACTATTTCTGGTTTAGTAAGCTGTTTTTTGGTTTTGGGTGGTTGGGTGTTGCTGGTCCGGTTAGGCAGTTGTGTTTCGTTAGGTGATCCCAGAGGGCGCTGCTGGCGGTGGTGTGGATGGTAGTGGTGTCGATGGGTCCTTGCTTCCGCTTCAGCTGGCTCCATTATTGAATAAACCGGCTGCATCGGCTGCAGAGACAATTCTTGATATTATACTGAAGGTAAAGCGTTCCTAAGCAGCCTCAGTGCCATAGGACTTTTTATGGCAAACTTATTCCTGTCCAACGGTTGAGACGACTCGAAGCAGCTACATCGCACGATAGATGGTCACTTTGGAGTAGAAATGCGGGTGGCTTCTCAGCACTACCTTGATTTCGCTTTTGATGGCACATTCGCTCCTGTCAAATAGCGCTTGACCGTGGAAGGAGTAGTGCAGCAATTGGTCTTCTTATTACTATAGTCCAGTGGCGTTTCTGCATGCACTTGTTTTCTGGAAGTGCTTAGGGTGATAAAAAACTTGAAGGAAAGATGCTTTAATAGAAAACGATCCCTATTTTAAGGAAAATACCACCAGTAAAGAAAATTTGGATACATTTTAATATTCGGTTTCTAATTTATTTTTAGTGGTTCATTGTGTAGTGCGCAAGGCAACTACAACCGAGGATCGAGACTTGATTCAAATTCGCCAATGCACCACTCTTCGTTGGACGGCACTGTTGCCTAATAGGGAAAAATAAAAAAGGAATGTTGAATGGCCCAATTGGTTGTGGCTCAGTTTGGAGCGCCGATCCTGAAATTCTGCTCTCGGCATAAGTAAACCTGTTTAAAAATCCTGGTGATGATAGTGATTCATCTTTATTTATATCGCCAAGGAACTCCTTGACCTACTTGGCTAGTCTAACAAGCCAGTAGGACCATACTAACCAGCAATGCTTTCAGAATGCTTTAAGAAAAAAAGAAAATTCTTTTATTTAATTATAATTTTTTTACCATTGTACGGTAAAAAATTTTCATTGCATTTTCCAATTATGAAATGGATATTCATATATTTTGTTTCAATATTTTTTGTGCTGCTTTTATTATTAAATATTTTTATCATAAACGTTTTTGTTTTTTTTTGTTGCAGCTATTGTTATATTTATATTATTATATTTACATATTGTTATATTTTTAATTATTTTTATTATAGTTATTTTCACCATTATTTTTATTCATGTTGTCAATATTTAGTTTTGGCGAATTTTGCTAGCTTTTTTTCTTAATTTCTTTTATTTAATTCTTTTTACTTTAATTTTGTTTTTTTTAGTTTATTTTTCGAATTTATTCAATTTTTGCTGAAATTGTTTTCATTGTTATTTTTCAGAATTAGAAAATGGTGAAAGAAACCAAGTATTACGACGTTCTTGGTGTTGCTCCATCTGCTTCAGATAATGAACTTAAAAAAGCTTATCGGAAATTGGCGTTAAAATATCATCCTGACAAAAATCCAAATGAAGGCGAACGCTTTAAAGCTATTTCTCAGGCTTATGAAGTATTTCCTTTGTTTTACAAGTATTTTCATTGAAGTTTATGAAAAGTTTATGAAATGAAGTTTATGATGAAAGTTTATGACATTTCATTAATTCGATGCAAATTGTTTGTAAATTGTTGTGTTTCAGTTATTAAATGATTTCAGTTTATTATTTAGGTATTATCAGATCCAAAGAAACGAGAGTTATATGATCAAGCTGGTGAAGAAGGCTTGAGTGGCGCTGGAAGTGGTGGTAATTTCCACAATCCTATGGATATATTTGATATGTTCTTTGGAGGTAAATCTGATGATTTTGCAGTTACAGTTTGGTGCAATATTTCATGCACGGATGCATTCCACTTCTAATTCTTAAAAATTTTAGGGCATTTCCAAAGTGGGGGACGTGCAGAACGTAAAGTTCGTGATGCTATTCATCAGTTACCTGTTAGATTAGAACAATTTTATAATGGAGCAGTAAAAAAACTAAAGCTGAGTCGTAATATCGTGTGTCCTGAATGTAATGGAATAGGCGGAATAAAGGTATTATTGAAAACCATTTTATCATCTATTTTAAAATTAAATTTTGATCGCAGCGTTTATTTAAATAACTGCAATAATTTTTGATATTATATGTTTTTATTTATTCCATGAATTATTATTTAAATTGAATTAGCAATGAGTTTCAGTAATAAAGGTGAATTCGTAGAAACGCTACGAATTTTTCGCTGCAATAATTTCATCATTTGCTTTTTTCTTTTTTTCAGTTATTTAGTTAATTTGGAAAATAATTGATTTATATATTTTATAAATTTTGCGGTTTTACCCACTTTTATTTGAATTCAAAAGAGCTATAGTGTTTTATTTGAAGGAAAGTCAGTCTTCGTGCTCAGAATGTGAAGGAAGGGGAATTAAAGTACGAGTAACACGCATGGGTCCCATAATGCACAAAACTCAGACAACATGTAATGTTTGCAATGGTGAAGGCCAGACTATTCCTGAAAAAGATCGTTGTAAAAATTGTTTAGGACGAAAAAAGGTCTTTTCTTTTTTTACATTTGTTCAGGCTTGATAATTTGTATCATTTTTCATTCATGATTTTAACCAATGGAGTGGAGAGAATTTAAGGAATTTTATTCATGAGAGCGAAAGAAAATTTTGTGACCTTAAATTTCATACGATATTTTTTTACAGATCAAATCTGAAAGTGTTCTGGAAGTTCATATAGATAAAGGCATGAGGGATGGTCAAAAAATTGTTTTCAGTGGTCAAGGAGACCAAGAGGTATATTTTTGTGGAACGTGGTTAATATTTTCAAATTCTATGTGATCGCTACGTCGGAAAATAATTGCAATAATTGCTTTATTTGTATAGACTTATATTTGTTTTTCTTAAGGTTGGAATTACGCCGGGTGATGTAATAATAGTGCTTGATGAGCAACCGCATGAAAAGTTTGTAAGAAAAGGAAGTAATCTTGTGGTGCACATGGAGTTAGACTTGGTTGAAGCCCTATGCGGCTGTGCCAAATCTATTGAAACCCTTGATAATAGACATTTAGTTTTTCATCTTCTTCCAGGTTAGAATTTGAAATTTATCTCTACTGGACTAATTACTCTCAGTAATGGCCATTGGTTTATTTTTCTAATTTTAACCCGATTTAATTTCATTTTCAGGTGAAGTAATTCGGCATGAAGATGTAAAAACGATTATCGGTGAAGGCATGCCACATTATAAAAATCCATTTGAGAAAGGAGATTTACTAGTACGGTTCAAAGTTACATTCCCAAAATCTATTTCACCATCATCCATCGAGCAGTTGAGAATGTTGTTGCCGAATCCTAGTGAACCAATAATTTCGGATGATGAAGTGTACACATTAGAGCCACTCGGTGAACGTAATAGACGGTCAGAAAACTCCATGCATGAAGATCATGAACCGCAAGGTGTTCGTTGCCAAGCTCAGTGATAAAAAATTGTCTTTGGTCTTTCCAAATGTTTTGCATATTCAACTCCACTATTGTAAAAGATTTTTTATTTTTGATTCATAATCATGAAATAATGAATATCGAAGGTAAATACTATTATTTCGTCTGAAAGTTTTAAATTTTTTTTACTGCATAATGAGGTATTATGATATTCATTCATTTATTTTATTTAATTAAATTTTCTGGCGAAAAAAATCGTGGGAAAAGTTTGAAGGAAAAATTTTTTTTATCATCCAATATTGCATTAATATAAATTGCCATAAACATTAGTATTGGTTTGGGATTGAAATTTTTTTTCTGTTCGGGAATTTGGATTGAGTTGAGGGCTTTCATTCAGTAGTTACACTGGTCTAGGTTGTTAATGATTTGTCGCCAAGCAACGTCCTCATTTTGGTTATTAGCAGTGTTCGGTTCACTTTTAAAGGTTTCTATGACGATAATATCGATTTAAAATGTTTTCGGCTCATGCAATGGATCGAAGATGGATTGCCTGTCTGTTTATTTTGTAACCCTAACTGCCCATATAACATTGTTGGCTTTGGTATTATGGGACCCAAGAGGTAATGTTTTTTTCTAACCTAACCAACCAGATGAATTAAGGCACACAATAAGACGAAAAGAGTTAGTAAAAAGCCCAACTCAATCCGTGGCTTCAGCTGGGCAATTGCTTTTTGGCATACACCGCCACCGGGAAATTTGCACGCCAATTTGTTTTCGTTGGCTTCATTTCACCTAAATTACCACAGGATTTCTTTAATTGAGATGGGATAAACGAGATGGGATGAGAAAAATTAGGGATTTGATGATTCTGCTTTAATAGAAGTGAGTTGTATATGTGGTGGAAACATGCATTATTCTCCGTAAACGGTTGAGCAGACCTATTCAATGCGGGCAAAGAGCTGTTTGGAAAATTTGCTCGCCGGGTTTTATATTTATACCTTATTATACCTTATTTATACCTTATTTCGTATCCAGTTTTTTCCTTTTATTTGTTTCCTTTGGTATTTTGGCACCTAAGAGGTGATGTTTGCTGTTTTCCATCCTAACCAACCGGTCAAATATTTTAATGCATTTAAAAAGATGAAAAAAAGCGGTTAACAAAATGTCTAGTTCAACCTGTGGCTTCAGCTCGGCTTTTTATCATGCGGCGTCGATGGTAAATTTCCTATTAGCTCTCTTAACGAATAAATGCTAATTGTGTACTAAGTAACTGAAATATACTGGAATAAAAAATGGAACTTTAGACAACGTCCTGGCTACATTACCTTTCGAAGGCTGGGACAATAAAGACTTCATGGAAGCGCAGACATCGTTAACCCTGTGTTTGGTATTATCACTTCTATTCTTAGTTCTTGAAATTTTCCTTCTTTTCTACCAAATACCTTCAACTGGTAAAGCTGCTTTCTCCATAACCTTTCATTTCGTTTCGTCGATTTTACTTTTTAAATTTATTGTTGACTCAGATCCTGTTCAACATTTCTGGGTCATCTTTCCACTTTGTTGTGTTAGCGCAGTTCCTCAAGTTATCGTTTTTTTATCATCTTTTCATTTTAGAAGCCTTCTTTAAACTTTAAGCCTTTTTCTAATTCAAAACAAATGTTTCAGTCCCAGATTTCTCTAACCTTAGTAGTCGTAATTTGCGCAAATTTTATGTTTCAGCAATTTATTAATTGAAAGTAAAACTTTTTCCAAACGCGCTGGTGATTTTCTCAACAATTCATTTTAAAAAATCGAAACGATTAAAAGAACATAAATATAGGCAATAATAAAAAACATCATTCTACTTTATGGTCCGCGATAATAAGATTTAATAATCAAGTGCGATTTTGACCTGATGGCCGAGGAAACCTGTCACTTCCAGCTGTTGCGCGTTGGCCGAAACGTGGTGGTGGATTTCGATCTCTACGTGCTTCCCTCGATCTATTTCGCACGACTTTACTGTGTATTGCACATGACACACAATAATGTAGCTTATGATATAGTTTTGGTAACGCATAAGCTAAAAAATACGAAAAATTTAATTACAATCTTGCATCAATACCCATCAATTTATCCCAAAACGAATGATATAGAATTTAACGTTAAAAACTTTCAAAAATAAAAATCAAAAAATCTAATTTTCAATTTCGAACTCAGAGAAGAATTAAATTTTCATTGAAAAACAAACAATCGTATGCGGATGCTTCAGCAATATCTCGCACAGCCGCAGTTTCAACCATATTTCTTACTACGAACTTTTTAATAGCTTTGTCTTTTGGTGTACAACGTCCACAGTTTGTACAACGAACTGATACAACATGTCCACGACCTTTTTTATTTCTCCCGTGATTACGACGCTTTGTTGTCATTTATAAAATTTTATATCAAAATTTCGTAATGGATACTTGGAAATAGTATCTAAAAACGCTTCGAAAATATATTTTCAACAATATATTTGAGTCAATAAATTTGCAAATTTCTATAAAAAATAGTATAATACAATATGAAAAAGAAAAAATTTCCAAATAAAATTCCAAACTAGAAAGTCGATGAAGCCGAAATCTATTCCAATTTTTATTATTGAATTTAATCTTATTTTAAAATCTAATTTATTACAAATTTAACTTAATTCTAATCAAATACAGTTAAAATGACTTTTATTGAACGAAACAAAAATAAGCAAATCTGTTTAAGAAGAATTTTAGACCTTAACAGCAATTAGATTCACACGCAAGCACGAGTAAAAACTAGAAGAAATAACAATTTCTTAACATAACAAACAAAACGAAATCCACAGAAAAAAAAGAATTTTAAACCAATTTTAAAAATTAGGTACCACATGAGGCATACTGATTAGGATACGTTCTTCGTCATCCACCATAGGAGTTGACAAATATTTCGTTACTTGCTAAAATCCTGTGATGAGTAAGGTCAAGAGCGAGATAGGCCAATCAAGACCTGACCTGGATAGTCAGGAAAGATTATGAACGGGAGGACCAGTAAAACATGGACTGAGACGGTGAAAAAAGAAATGGCTTCTATTACTATCAGCGATAGTACCTCATCGAATTTGGAGAAGCCAGCGTAGGCAGCCTAACCAGTAGTAACGAGCTGTTAGAAGGTGCGAAGAAATTAAAGAGATGCAGAAATAGTCAGGATATGAGAAAGCATGCATCAAGTGCCTCGTGCTTTTAAAAACTCAGCTGCCTAAGTGGAAAATGCGAAATTCAACATCACAAGCGGAAACCGTCAGCACATCTGTCTAGGCTTTCATGTCACAATTTAAAGTGCAATTTAACACAAATATAATTCAGCTGAGAAGATGGATAGCAAGCATGCAATATCCTGCGAAAGTCGGATCCAAACAGATGTGAGAGGAAGAACATGGAAATGCACCTTCCTTCTCATTAAACTTAAATTCGATTTTATTAATATATAATATATATATTGATCAATATATATTCAATAATTTAATCGAATATTCTCACAGAGTCTACTTCACTGATAAATTTTTTATAAATTCTTAGAGAAATAATTTTATTATTATTTTGTTTTGTTATGAAAAATAAAACATTGGATTCAAAGGGCAAAAGAAAAGAGAATGCAATTAACACTCCCCCAACGAAAAACAATTTCCGGTTTTTGGGCCTTCAGAAGGGTATAACCAGTGAAAATTAGAAAAAATTTTCGTAGTAAATTCCTCTCTTCATTCTTTTTACCTCGCCATTCTTTAAACTTGCACCAGATTGTGAGAAACCCTTCATCAAAACCTTTAAAAAAGCCAGAAAGATCGAAAGACCCCACCTCTCAACCCAAAACTCGACAACCTACACCACCGCAAAAAATACATCCGAGTTTCAATGTCTTTACCTACTGCATTTAGTGTACGATTGCAGAGTTTCGTTTGAAGATTCTAAACTATTTTTGCAGCTCAATTTCCAATTTTCTTGTTTTTGCAACTTCCAATTTCTGCTTTCATGTATCGATAGAAGTAGCGTTAGGTTCAGCTAGAAACTTATCACAAAACTTAACATGGTTCTTAGTTTGTAATGAAAAGTCCAGAAAGCCAGGTATTGAGAGAAAAGGTCTTGTCTCATGTCTTGTTTCCAAGTTATTGAGCAGCAACAAACTTTTAAGAATTCCATAATTCACAATTTCCAAGGAATCGATTTCTTCTCTATTCCCGCTGTTAAATGCACGGTTCAAGCATTCGGATAGCTGCAAATTTTGCATTCTACTTGAAAATTTATCCGTTTAACATTCACTGAATATCAAAAATAAAGCTGAGAATTAGGATTTATGTGAAACAAATGTCGCATGAGACTCTATTTGATTGGCTTTTTATCGAAGAAGTAGGCTCTTCGGATTTTGTGCGGAATTGCCTGAATGAGCGAATAACTAAATAACGAAAGGATGGGGCCTCCAGTTGAAATCATCCAGTGTTAGCCAGTGCAGCCATAAAGCACTCGATGCGATTCGAGGGACCGTTCAATGAAGAAGGGCCAAACTTGCATTTCAGTGCCCCTCCTAAGGACCTTTCCTTTTCCAGGAAATTTTATATAATATAAATTTTATATTTTATATAACTAGCGTTCAAAGGCATCCAAAATTTTAAATAAATCTATAGCATAACCGAAGCACAAGCAGTCTGAAATATACTATATTCCCTTGATTATTTGGTCGAGCAGTTCTTTGCTCCTTTAGACTTGATTATATCGTCCTAATGTCACGTCGGAATCTTTTTTAAGTCGTTTTATTGATAAGGAATTAGCAGATTCCATTTGTCAGCTAATTCATGGAGGTGTCGTAGTTTTGGTATTTTTCGCTTCCTACCTTAGAATAAGCTTCACTTTAGTCTTTTATAATTCTTCACCTATTTTAGTTTATTTTTTCCCCTTTTTTTGCCCATCAATAGATTGCTAGTCCACAAATAAAAAATCCTTTAGCTAAGCAAAATATTATTTATTATTTTATTTTAAGTATATTAGGGGCAAAACATTAGATATCAGTGGGAACCATAAGATATAATTAACACTGAAGCGGATTTTTGACTTAAAAAACTGTAACTGATGCAAGTGAAATAATTTTACGACCAGTTATTGCCTTTTTGCTTCTGCCAAATCATTCATTCCATAATCCTGTTCATATGTTCAACTTTATATAGTAGGGTGGCTGCTTCGATTAGATATCGTAGGAAGGAAAGCTCGAAGTCTGGACAGTGTTGGGGGGCCACTTGCATTTCAGTCCACAAATGATTCTTTAGTGCGAATTGGTATTTCCGAACGTTTATGTGTAAAACAATGTTTCAAAAAATTTTTAATTTTATTTACCTACAAATGTAATCCTTGAAATTTCACCAAAATAAAACTATTGCAGATCTGTGAACATCTGGGTAGAGCTCAACAAATTTTAAGAGGTTATTGAAGCAAGCCAAATCAGAAATAGTAAGTGCTGTTAGAAAAAAAAGATTTCATAGGCCACAGAATTTTAATTAATACAGACCAAATGTTTTATAAATATAGATCATGAATTTTTTTGCTAACAACTTTCACAATTACTGGTCAAGCTGGCCTCGCTGGCTACAAGGGTAAAACGTTTCCAAGCTTAAGCTGTTCGATCCGTACAGCTCATGAACAGTTTAAACCAAGTAATCGAAACCCTTGATAATATAGGAAAATAAAATTAATTGAACGAATCGATAACAACAAACATTTATTCAGTAAAGTAAGTAAGAAATAAGTGAAAAGAGTGTAGTAACAAAATTCTTCCACTAGTTTATGGCGATAAAACTACTTATCACCAGTTAATGCTTTATCTCTATTATCGTCTATTTAACTATAATTTTTAGCTTATTAAAGTCTCCCATTTCACACTGTCCTATATTTTGCTGAATAACATTAAACATTGTATTTCTACATTAAAAAATATAATTATTATACTCGAACAGATTGGTTTGGCTCTAATTGCAGTTTATATGTTGAAAGAAAGACATTGTGTGGGGCAGATTCAACTGTTAAATCGCTTCTCTCCTCTTCATCAACACGACGAACCTGGAAAAAGCATTATTATTTAGTAATTTTTAATTTTCTTAGAGGCGAAATAAATAAAGCCAAAAAATGTTACAGAAAAAATATAAAAAATGATGAGATACGGAAAAATGAAACATGAAAAAACAAAACCATGGAGATAAATAACGACTAGTAAGTTTAAGGACGACAAAAGCGATAATCACCTAATGAACCCGAATAAATGAATAGTTAAAAGCTGTGAGATCAGTTGGTGGCTACTATAGATTACGAGCAATATGACTGAATTTGTATTGCTTGGCTTGACCCCTTCCACCAGAGCTTAAAAATATCGCTATTGCTGAAAAATCGAATGCTGCAGGGAACTCATTCTTTGGTGGCTTCTTGGCATTTTATTATCATCCATATAGCCAATAAAGCCTGTGAAGCAGGCTTAACAGGCAAATTGATGAATGTAATCTATTCAAATTCTTACTTGCGGCCCACCACCATATTTTTATTGACCTTCATTGCCCAAAAAATCATTTCTTTCTCCAAGGTTATCTTCATAATATTTTCAAATAGTTTCATTATGATCTAAGACAATTAAGGTAAGATTATTGAAGAATATGCCTTAGGAGAATTTGTCGGTGGTAGCGATATCCGACGACTTTTCGTTCCTTTATCACTTGATTTCTTACCACCTTTTCTCTTGCTAATATGTGGATTATCTTGATAAATATTTTTTAATTTATACATTCGCAATTGTGTGTAAACCCTTTTTAGTTCGGCCTAAAAATTTAAATGAAGTAATTCAAACTCATAAAATGCGATAAATCAATAGATTTCAGCTAAATGATAATAAAAAATCCATTCATTTTTCCGATTCCTTGAGAAAAACTGGGAAACAAACCCGAATATCTTCAGGGTTCATATCGGCAATAGGTATTTCATTGAAATCAACAGTACCATTTAGAAGGTTATCTCGTAATTTTGCTAAAGATGGATGTGCTTTTGAGCTACTGCCTGATAATGTCTGCGTTCGCCTCATGCTTTCTGAACTAATCTGCAAGTGAAATTTTCTTCATTTATTTATTTTGGAGAACAAGCAGAGTTATAACCTAGTAAAAGAGTGCAATAAAAAAATTGAAATTCGGCAGTATTAACCATATTTTTGACATTTGTAGCAGCTAATTCAATAAAGTTGAGCATATTTTTACACTTTTAGCTGTTGATTTGCTATTTTTAAGCATATTTGCAAAATGTTTGCAATAATAAAATTGCTATATTATTTTGTTTTTACATTCGCAAAATTTCGTTTCAAAAATGAAAGATTTGATTTTTAATTTTTCAAATTCTTTTTTCAGCTGAAATTTCATTTGTATTTCGATTAAATGCTATATTTCTTCATCATAAATCAGTGCAAAAAACTTTTTATAACGTTAATTTTCATTTCAAATTATTTTTATCACCATTTTATTTAATAATATTATTTTATTTTATTTATAAGTTTTGTTTTGTAGCGAAAAATGATAAATGAAAAATGATAGGTCAACTCTCTTTGACGCGACGTCTACGTCTCCCGACGCGCATGTTACTTCTGACCCAGTGGTACATGCGATGAATATATACAATTCGGCGCTAATAATAATAGTAATAAAAGGCCAAGGCGCAAGCACAGAATTTACTTGCGAACCGAAATAAGTACTTAAAATCGATCAAGGGAGGCGGGAATCTATCCGTTAAGACTTTGCAAACGCGGTGAGGTGTTGGCTATAGCTGCTTGCAACGTCAGAATACTTATGGATGTTGAAAGCCAAGCGATCATTATCCACACCCTCTCTAAATACCGGTGGATGTGGCTTGTTTCTCGGAGGTCCGCCTCCTCATGTCGGCTCCCAAGTAATTAAATCTGGTTCCGAGCAAAGATACTAGCTATATCATATTATTGTCTCGGATAACTTGTGGCGAAATGGCGTAGCGATTTACATGTCGGAAAAGGCTCGATCCATTCTGATTGAATGGAAATCAGTAAATGACCGTATGGTCTACGCTTATTTCAAAGGAAAGGTTTACAATATTTCAGTCATCAATGTATATGCCACAGCCACATGTGCAGGTGACCACGATAAGGATAAGTTCTGTGCGGAATTTCAACTTTCCTCCCTACAACATCCCTAGCGAGAGGTGACTGGTCAGACTTGGTAGATACTGGAATGCGCGTGTAGGTTATGATGCCGTTTCGATGAACTCGGTGATTGGGAAATACGGCATTGGTGGCCCAATGCGCCAATGGAGAATGCCATCGTTTTGCTGAAGAGCATGAATTCTTTGTTGCTAATACATGCTTTCGGCATCGGAGGAAATATCTAGTCACGTGGAACTCTTAACCTCTCCGGACAACCAATATTCCAATCAGATTGACTATATATTAATCAGACACCGCTGGAAGAGTTCTGTACTTAATAGTCGTTATTATCGGGGCGCTGAAACTGCTTAATAGTCGTTATTATCGGGGCGCTGAAACTGGTAACCGCCATGGATAAGATAATCATGTTATGGTTCGGGCCAAGGTTCGTATAAAACTGACAAGTCGTAAGAAACAATGTATCCCAAGATCTTTCAACTATTTCAAATCAACTATCTTAAAAGATCCAGAACGATAAGCGCGTTTCAAACTGCATTATTGAAACATTGAAACACCTCAGTGAAATGAATATCAATGACATCTCTTGAACGGTGAATGAATAAAGACATGCCTACAAAAGTCTACAAAAGTCAGCCACTTCCATATTAGGGTATAGTAGTAGGAAGTGGGTGTCGGAAGTAACTGTCCAACTGTCTAAAAAAGCTGCCAAAGTTTGAATATCAGGAGATCCTGACTATCGGATGCTTCGAAGAATTACAATAACAACAGCACAGCGGGTCAGCAATCGCTATTGGAGTGATATGACCTTGAGAATGGAGTCGATGGTTCGGACAGGTGATAATAGGAAACTGCCTTCTCCGAAAGCAACTATAACTCGAGAAAGGGTCAGTGAAATGGTACGGGATATTAATGGGGTGCCAATTAAAGCTGTGAAGGATCGCCTTAGAAGATGGAAAGAATTTTTTGAGGCCAAACTTAACCACGATGTACCACCTATTGTCCCCAACATAACTGATTTGCCCGTCGAGCCTTACCTTTGCAATTGTGAGCCGCCAAAGAAGAGGAAATACTCTTTGTAATCCATAAGCTTAAGGCAATAAAACTTTCGGAGAAGATGGTCTTCGGGCTGAACTCTTCAAATATTGTCCATCATCGTTCATAACTCACCTTCAACAAATGTATTCTCTAGTATTGCAAAATGAAATAACACCAGAAGACTGGAGCAACATAATTCTCCTTCCCATTCCTAGGAAAGGTGATAGGACGTATTGCGACAATCGTCGAGAAATTAGTCCACTGGACATCTCCGGAAAAATTTTCGCTTCCCTTCCGCTAAATAGACTCATGACAACACCAGATAGTAGAATGCGTTCTGAAGCTGGATTCAGACCGGAACGCGGTTGTGCTGGCCAGATATTTACGCTAAGAAGGGTGCTGGAACATCGCTTCAAATACCAGCAACCCACTGTCACTTGTTTTATCGATTTCGTAGCTGCTTTCGATTCGATTGATAGAGCAACTCTCTGGAAAGTGATAGAATGTGACAGAGAAGATCATTCGGCCCATAAAGGAAAAATTTTATCAGCATACCCTGGCGCAAGTCTGTATATATGGGGAATTGAGAGATTCCTTTGAAATAAAAACTGGTGTTCGTCAGGGCCTTTCCCCCACAATAGTCAACTATGCGATAGACTGGATAATGAATATCGCTTGTCAGCACTCAAGAGGTGTGCAGATCAGTCCAGAACATAGCATCACAGACCTAGAATACGCTGATGATGTAGTCTTTTTTGCTGACAGTTATGAGGAAATGCTATACGGAAATAAATGGAAATGTTAAATAATGTGTCAACAACTGAGAGAATTGGACTCAAAATCAATAAATAACAAAATCAGTAAATAAAACGAAAGTACTTTCGTCTTATATAGAAGATGCTGATAAAATACCTATTTTTATCAATTCATTGCCGGATGAGGAAGTGCTGGACTTTAAATACCTTGGATCCACTCTAATTCCAAATGGTCAGGCAAAGGATGAAATCTTATACCAGATAACGGCAGCTAGAATTATATTTTTCCGGTTGATGAAATCTTTATGGAACCGTCGCGAAATCACCATAAAGATGAAAATCCGCGTCCATATAGCTGCAATTCGTTAGATCTTGCAAAACATGGCCAATGAGAGTGGAAGATATTAAGAAGCATTTCGTACATATTTTGTTACTTGCTAAACCTTGTGATGGGTGGCATCAAAAGCGAGATGGGCCAATCAAGACCTGGACTGATACAATCAGTCGAAAGATTTTGAACATATAGATGGACCAGCAATATATGGATTTAAAAGATGGAAAAGGAATAACTTCTATTACTACTGGACTGGGCTGCTTGGAATTGCTTTACTCTTGTAGCCAGCGAAGGCAGCCTAATCAATATGGTGAGAGCTATTAGAAAAAGAAAATGATGACAAATCCAGGCCAACGAACTTCTTCGCTTTGAGTTGATAGCACTGTTTAGCCAGTTGAAATATATCAAAAATCCCTTTATCTCTCGCTAAATATTTGGGCGAAATGGAAATGTAAATTAACGGAATATGAACTTGATATAAAGTAAAGCTTGTGATAACATTCACAATAAGATATTTACGTTGAAGTAGAAAGACCAGAAAGTAATATGTTGCAACTAAGACAAACAGTGTGGATTGGATTCCAATCCGCAGAAAGTCATTAAAAATGAAATCCGAGTGCTTCTGGGGATTTACTTACATTTCAATCATCTGAAGATTCTCTGGCGCGAGAGTTTCATCTTAGTAGTTGGTGCAACTAAACAAACCAGAAATGGCGGGTGCTGTTAAGAAAGAAGATGGGATATCCAAGGCATCTACAATATAAAGAAATAAAATAAAAATTTAATGCGATTTAGAAAACAGTTAATGTTATGGTTTCATCCAACAATAAATATTATTCATCAGATTGAAGCACAATTCACTTATTAATGAGATATTAAATATGAGAATGTATTATAATTGTAATAATATGGATAAAAGGGTCCATTAGAGTCCTCACCATTACTCGCTCCGCTGGCTTGTCGCACTTGACAAATGTGCCAAGAAGTCCCTTGGCAATAGAAATACAGGTGAATCGCCAGTTTCACCCAGATTTTTGGACATATTTACTCCTGCGGAGAATAGAACCTCAGGATCGGCGCTCCGAATTGAGAAGCAACCCACTGGCCTATCCTACCTCCTATGAATAAAAGGAACTTTATCGATTAAATAATTTGATCAGTGGTTCATAAGAAATAAGAAATAGCTAAATTTAATCATTTTAGAAACTTACCAAATAAAATTTAGGAGCAATAATGATAACAATATTTATGGATACTGTAAGGTGCAACTGAATAAAGGTAATGGTCATCAGCGTATCGCTATGGCCAGTATACCGTATTGAATACCTGAAATTCTTCAGTACTGATGGATATCGATTAAAAATCCCATCGTTGGAATTCAAATATCCAAATATCGAAATGTCGATTCATGTCCGAAATCTAATAAAAGTTGCACAATTAAAATCTGTCATTTTCAATTAGTGTTTCTTAATTTATTCATAAAAAATAAAGCTGCCTCACTATATATTGTTTACGAAATTCCCAAGTCAAATGCATTAAAAACTTAAAATTAAACGCATGTTTCGACCAGAGACTTAATTTTTAACTATGTTATAGTTCTAACTTGCAACCTATATTTGAAAGGATAACTAAACTTCAGCCAAAATGTGACGAAGATGATGTTTCCACAATAATATTCACGAACTTCCAAGAAATTCATGAATTTTGGAAAGCGCCGCTTAAAACTGATGCTGGAAGCTGATGTTTGACTTGTTCATCAATCATATAATTTTTCCAATTTTTGCATTTTTTGAGGATTAAAAGGCAATTTATAAATTTACAGAGGGGAAATGTTGCGCACATAACGAAATTACTCGCAAATAACTCGCAATATCTATAAAGTTCATTTAATTTTAAATCAACATAACATCAACAATCTAGACTTGTTTTTTATAAAATTGTGGGCAAATTTTATATACATATATGTCCGTTGTCGAATATTTGTTTACAGTACCAGGATAACTGCTCGAAATCTATCAAAGGAAACAGCCCTCTGCACGCGCGGCCAGGTATTAGTGGTATCAGCGTGGAACGTCAGAACTCTTATGGATATTGCAAGTCAAGCGATCATTGTCCACACCCTTTTTAAATATTGTGTGGATATCGCTTTCCTGTCGGAGGTCCGTCTTCCTCACTTTGGGTCTCGAGAAGTTATTAATCCTGGTTCAGAGCAGAGATACTGGCTATATCACTGTGGTGCTTCGAATAACTCGGGAAGAAATGGCGTAGCGATTGTCATGTCTGACAAGGCCCATTCCGCTTTGATTGAGTGGAAACCGGTAAACGACCGTATGGCCTATGCCCGTTTTAACGGTAAGTTCTGCAATATCTCGGTCATCAGTGTCTATGCTCCAATGCTGTCGGCAGATGACTGTGATAAAGACAAGTTCTATGCGGAATTTCAATTGCTAACAAAGTCTCTACCGAAATATGACATGATCATAATCGGGGGAGACTGGAATGCTCGCGTAGATCATAATGCAGCTACGATGACCTCAACAATTGGCAAATATGGCATCGGAGATCGGTGTGCCAATGGGGAACGTCTTCTTCGTTATGCCGAAGAACATGAACTTTTTGTTACTAATACTTGCTTCCGGCATCATAAAAAACATCTAATCACCAACACTTCAACCAGATTGATTATATCTTCGTCAGTCATCGTTAGAAGAGTTTCGTATTAGATAGTCGTTCCTACCACGGCGTTGAAACGAGCAATCTTCATGGATCTGACCATGTTATGGTTCAAGCCAAGATCCGCATAAAACTGACAACTCGCAGAAAACAGCATCTCCCAAGTTCCTTCAACTATCTCAAATTAAAAAATTCGGGGACAATGAGCGCATTTCAAACCGAATTATTGAAGCATCAATGATGCAAATATCAATGATTTTTCTGGAACGGTAAATGAATACTGGTCCAAACTAAAGGAACGTTTCTGAAAGTCAGCCACTTCCACATTAGAGAATAGTAGAAAGTATGCTAGTTGGGCATCGGAAGCAACTATCTGAAAAAGCTGCCAAAACGAGAATGTCAGGTGATCCTCACTAGCGGGTGCTTAGAAGATTTGCAACGAAAGCAGCAAGGCTGGACAGAAATCACTATTGGAGTGAAATGTGCTTAGGAATGGAGACTGCGGTTCGATTAGGCGATAATAGGAAACTATTTCGCCTTTTTTATAAAGTAACTATTCGGAGATCGATCAGTGAAATGGTAAGGAATAGCAATGGCGTGTCGATCTAGAGTATTAAGGACGATCTAGAGTATTAGAGTATATAAGATGGAAGGAATTCTTTGATGCCAAACTTAACCATGAAGCACCATCTGTTGCCCCTGATATAATTGATACGTTTGCCGAACCATACGCTTGCAATTGCGAACAAGAATCCAAGAAAAGGAGAAATAATTTCCGTTGTCCATGAGCTTTAAGCTAATAAGACTCCGGGAGAAGATGTCTTCACACTTTTCAAATATTGTCCATCGTGCGTCCTTCATAACGCACCTTCAAATATACTCTTTAGTATAGAAAAACTAGTATAGAGAAAAGAAATATTATCGAATGATTGAAGCAAAACAATTCTGTTCCCAATTCTCAAAAAAGGTAGTAAGACATACTGCGACAATTATCGAGGAATTAGCCTACTAGACGTTTCAGGCAAAATTTTTGCTTCCCTTTCACTCAGCAGACTTATGGAAGTACAAGACAGCAGGATGCGCCCTAATCAAGCCGTATTCATACCGGGGTACGGTTGTTCTGACCAGATATTCACGTTAAGAAGGGTATTGGAACATCGCTTCACATATTTACAACCCACTGTTACGTGTTTCATCGACTTTGCGGTTGCCTTTGATTCAATTGATAGAAAGGCGCTTTGAAGGGTGATGGAATGCGACGGTGTTCCACAGAAGATCATTCGACTCATTTTATGAGCATACGTCGGCACAGGTCTGTGTATATGAACTGGCAAACTCCTGCCAAATAAGAACTGGTGTCCGTTAAGAATGCGTCCTTTTCCCTACAATATTCAACTATGCGATAGACTGGGTGATGGACACCGCTTGTCGGCACTCAAGGGGTGTCCAAATCAGTCCAGGGCATCGTATCATAGATAAGCTGATAATGTAGTCCTTTTTGCTGATAATTATGGCGAAATGCAGGCAATGCTAAATTAAGTGTCAGCAACTGCAACGAGAATCGGATTCAGGGTAATGTATACAAAACGAAAGTCTTTTCGTCTTATGTACAAGAATCTGATAAAATGCCTCTTTTTGTAAATTTATTGTTGACGAAGTGTCCGAGCATTTAAATGCCTTGAGTTCACTCTAATATCAAATGGCCAGGTAGAAGATGATACTACAATATGATACCGGATCACGGCAGTTAGAAATGCGTTCTTCCGAATGACGAAACCTTTATGGAGTCGTCGTGAAATCACCATAAAAACGAAAGTCTAAATGGCCGTGATTCGCTCGATCTTGGTATATGACTGCGAAACATGGCCAATGAGAGTGGAAGATATTAAGAAGCTATTAGCCTTTGACCACTCATATCTAAAGTACATTCTACGGATCCGTCGAACAGATAAGATATCACATGGCATCCACCTTCGTTAAAATACCATTTGCATAAATGTTTTTAAAGAGCGTCGTCTTCGCTGGTTAGGGGACGTTTTCTGTCGTCCACCACAAAAGTTGACACATATTTCGTTACTTGCTAAACCGTGTGATGGTTGTCCTCAAAAGCGAGATCTGCCAATCAAGACCTGGACTGATACAATCAATCGAAAGATTTTGAACATATAGGTGGACCAGCAATATATGGACTTAAAAGATGGAAAAGGAATAACTTCTATAACTGTCGACGATAGCATCAGACCGCGCTGCTTGGCTTTATAGCCGTAGCCGTTGGAGCCATAACCAGTAATGGTGAAAACTGTTAAAAGAAGAAGATTATTGTATTGCCATAATCATTACTTTTGTGAAATTTTATAATTTAATATATAATATATAATATAATTTAACATTAAATTAAAATTTTGAATTAATCGCCTTTAATTTTGAATCGATTTCGGGATCCTATACAATATTAAATTATTACCGTTATTAAAAATTTCATTTCCATTCATTAAGGCGAAATTCTTTTCGTAGTCTTTTTTCTTTTTTTTCCTCATTTATTTAATAAAACTTAACTATTCGTTTTTATTATTAATTTTACTGGCTTCGCAGGTCAATAGGATTAGAATTTTTTTAAATTCCAATATAGAGTCACTTGAGCGCAGCGAGTTTAGATTTAGGAATTTCCGGCAGCATTGGCTTATGTTTTTAGATTAATTATCAGCCATATTAGTTAATCGTTACTGAAATTTTTTCAGCCAAAGGCAAATTCCTATGATTAAAGTTTACTATGGAGGCAAAAATTCATATTGGTGAAAATCTGGATTTTGAAAAAAAAGAAATTATCTTTTGACAAAGAATTCAATTTTTAAGGGTATCGAGTAGTATGGTTGTTTTGACCTATTATCAAAGTGTTTCGATTATCTTACCTTGATCGGAGTAAAGCTGCCATCAAATAATTAAAATAATGCTGAATTCACTTATACTTCTACCATAAAGTGGCTAATCGTACTAATAATCGTACTAAGAATGTTAACTCCAGAAATGGTAATCACTTACTTATTTGCTTATTTTATAATCGAATCGCAAAATTTAGTAGAATGATTTTGAAAAGAAATAATTTCGCATAATTCTTCAAAAAATCTGTTTGCATTTATATTTTCTTTACTTAAATTTAAAGAACGGATGAAAAATATCGGCTAGGCAAGAAAAAAAATCTGCCATACAATTTATAAACCATAAAATTACTGCGATATGTTTAGCTTGCTAAGGATTGCATCAAATCGATGATCCAGAAATTTAAAAACTGGCATTTGTTCTATTTTTACGTCTATTTCATGATTTCTAGTTAGATGCTTAATTGCTCTAAAACGCTAATTGCTTTCACATTTCAATTAAATTCTAATTGGCTTTAAAATATATTAATAATTCTATTTTGAGAATAAAAAATAGAAAGCAGAAAAATATATTGCTTTAAAATGGTACTGATGACCAATTTATACTTATATCTCTAAATTCCCTGGTAATAAAATTTCTAATAAAGAATGCAGCCAGCGAAAGAAGAAAAAAACTTTAAATTGAATTATAATGCTCCAATTTTTAAAATGCAGGTGATAATATAGTAGCAAATGATTAGTAATTTCACCAACCTTATAAGGTTGACCAGCAATGTAACGACAGTTTCCAGGCACACGGCTATTGTAAATTGCCATCGTTCCAACCATGTACTGTTACGTGCCTTATAGCATAATCTAAGTCCATATAAAAGAAATATTAGTTCGTACATGTACCATGTGTAGATCCACGCTTGATTATCACATTGAGGCCAAGCACTATTCCATAAATTATCGTTTGGCCATGATCCAACAGTCCAAGCTACCAACGATGTTACTGTTAAAGAAAGTAAACATGCGAGATATTTCAATAAATCTTCTTCCTTCACTGAAACATGATGCGCTTTCCGTACGCGATATTCTTGAAGATTCCTACAAGATTCTTTTGCTATAATATTTCGCTATAACGAATTATTTATGGAAAAGAACTTTTTGGTGCAACCACGAGGAGTTCAGGAGTTAAGTAATTCACTTGCCTCTTATAACAAAATATTATACATAATATTTATTGTACATAAGTATGAATAAATAATTCGACTGAGTTGGAAAAAATTTAAGGAAGAAAAGAGAATGAACCTATAAATTTTCAATAGTATCGATCCATAGAATGTTGAAAAACCAATTTGTCGAAGCCAAATTGCAATATAGCATGTTGATGACGTAGGATTAAGCCAGTCTATTAGTAACTAAATAGATAATAGCTATATTTCAAATGGCTATTGATGATTTCTTCTTTGGTACCTTACGGTCCTTTGTTCTAAAGATAATCATCCTCTCCTCCATTTTCCTACCTTGTCACCTTTTGCTATTAATCCATTAATTAAAAGGCCTATTTTTTCCATTTTAAAGATCTATTTGAAAATCTTTCAAAAAAATTATTTCTTTTTCTGAATTCGAAAACAATGATTAATTTTGTAAGCTTTATGAAACATACAATAGAATAAAGTGCAGCAGCACCAAACAAAAATATTTCCATTAAAGCCCATCCACGGGCTTCATGATTTCGCCTGCGTTCCCTAATAACGACTGGCACGAGCAAAATGCAAACGATTGCGCAAATTGCGTTAAAAAGTACCAAAATATTTCGTCCCTGTTCTCCTAATTCTCTGCATAATGCATTTATTTCACCGGCACAACATGTTTGAGCAAATACTTTAGTTCCACCATGGACCGTCCATGTACACTGAAAAGAAATTTCTGCAATAAAAGGCACTTAATAAGAGGTGTAAAATATCTTCGAAGAGAGATTTCACTCTCTGCTTTTAAGTTAAATATATAATGTGAAAATGAAATCTTGAATGTCTTAGCATATTTTGATTTAATTTAATTTCAATGATACACCGTTAGAAAAAGAAGGAAGAGAAAATAAGAAAAAAATTAACTCAGGAATTTCGGCCTCTTATATATATCTCAGTTACTTAAATTTCGCTTTAAATTAAATCAAAATATGCTAAGACATTCAAATATTGGTAAATAAGTATGCGCTCACCATTTCTGGTTATGCCCGCTCTGCTATCTGTTAATAGGATGATGGCTTTTTGTGGCGGGGTGACGAAGAGGGATACAGGGAAGTCACCAGCACAACGCGGATTTTTTAATAGATTAAAATATAAATCGAACAGGACACAAAACCATATGCTGGAGTAATAACAAACGGAAGTTAGAGCAAACAGTTATTGAATAGAAAAAAAATGTAAAACGAAAAGAAAAAAAACAAAAAGCGATATCAGTAATGGATTGATAAACGATAATAATGGATAGAAATTTTTTTAAAAATTTATTCATGGATGACCTTATTGAGATTTCTTTTAAAAGCTGAATGGAGTAATATGCAAATAGTATGGCAACCTATAAATAGTTTTGCACAGCTCAATCCATTTTGGTTATGTTAAAATTCAAGCTGAATTATTTATATTTAGCAGACTTTAAGTTGATATGGTCGAATAAAATCTAAAAAATCAGATCTTTTTCAATCCTTTTTAAATTAAAATTACAACTTTAATTTGCAAATAGAGGAGAGGCTAAAATTTAAGCGCCCTAAAAAGAAAATTTATTTGCTAAAGTTGAGGAACACATAATATTATGCTCGAAATGTGAACAGATGAATATTTCATACACTTTAATTAGAAAATTCCTAAGTTGGCTTTTTAAAAGCTTTGAGCATCAGATAATTAATAGATTTGTAAAATCGCTTAAGTGGTTTAATACAGAATTTTCAATGGGAATCGGAACATTTAGCCAATGTAAATTTTGCAGTCATCTCGTCATCTTCTTCCTCTAATACTCTTGCTATTATTGGTTAGGCTGGCTCCATTTGCTATGTTTCCAATCTACTCGATTCGACGCCATCATCGATAATAATAAAATAAACCATTCGTTTTTCCATCGTCTAAGTCCATATATCGTTGGTACATTTTTCCGTTCAAAATTTTTCCTGATTATATTAATCCAGATTTTTGGCTCTCCTCGCTTTTAATGCCATCAATCACAGGTTTTAGCAAGTAACGAAATATTTATCAACTCCTGTGGTGGGCAACGAAGGATGTACCTAACCAGCGAAAACGACGATCTTTGATGGTTAACATGTATATATGACTGATGATGGATGCAATCATGTGAACTTTTATTCGAGAGACCCGTAAGATGTGTCTTAGATATGGTTAAAGATAAATAACTTATTAATATCCTCCAGTCTCATTGGCCATATCTCGTAGCCATATAGCAAGATCGAGCGAACTGCAATTATATAGACGCGGATTTTCTTCTTCATGGTGATTTCGCGATAGCTCCATAAAGCTTTCGTTACTCAGAAGGATGCATTTCTAGCTGTTGTCAGGGTGGTAATGGTAATGGTAATTTCGTCTTTTGCTTGGCCATTAGGATTAGAGTGGATCCAAGGTAAAATCGGGCACTTATTGATTCAGCAATGAGTTTATAAAAAGGGGCATTTTATCAGCTTCTCCTATATATAACGAAAGGACATTGACTCAGCCGATTCTCGTTGCACTTGTTCACACATGTTTAAAATCATTTTGTATTTTAAAATTATTTTGTAAAACAAAATTATAAAATTATTATAAAAATTATTTGCATTTCGTAACTGTAAGCAAAATTGTAAATAAAAAGGATTTTTTCATCAGTGTATTTAAGATATGTGATATTCTGACTGATTTGTACAGCTCTTGAATGCCGACAAGTCCATTATCCAATCTATCCCATATTTGAATATTGTTGAGGGAAAGGACGCAATCTTAATGGCACTAGTTCTTATTTCGAAAGGGTCTGTCAATTTCCCACATATAAGATCTGCGCTGACGTACGCCGATAAAATGCCCTTATGAGTCAAATGATTTTCTCTAGAACACCGTCGGGTTCCATCACTCTCCAAAGCGACATTCCATCAGTTAAATCGAACGCGGCCACAATGTCGGTGAAATACATATGGGTGAATTGCAGATATTTAAAGCGATGTTCCAACGCTCTTTCAACGTTCCGAATATCCTGTCAGCGCAATCCAGCTTGATTAGGGCTCATCTTGCTATTGCCATAAGTCTATTTAGTAGAAGAGAGGGAAAAATTTTCCCGGAAATGTGTAGGAAACTGATTCCTTGATAATTGTTATAGTATGTCTTTCTAGGGAATTAGGAGCAGAATTGCTTTTCTCCATTGTTGAAGGTGTGATGTGAAGAAAATATGATGGACAACATTTGAAGACTTCGGCTCAAAGGCTACCTTCGGAAGTTTTATTGGCCTTAAGCTTATGGATTTTAGAGTTTATTTCATCTTCTTTTGGCGGTTCGCAGTTGCAAATGTATGGCTCGACAAGCGAATCAGCTATATGAGGGATAACATCGTGGTCAAGTTTGGTCTCAAAAAATTGCGCACTATATAACACATCACCTGTATAATTTCACTGTCCACTCCCCGAATTATTGCTTGAAGTAGGGAAAATAATTTCTTATTGATCGAGCCACTGTATCCATTTTTAAGGCTATATCGCTCCAATAGTTGTAATAATATCCGATAGTCAGGACATTCTCTTGATATTCGTGCTTTGGCAACCTTTGCGGTCTGTTGGTTCCGGTACTAACTTCCTAACATATCCTAGTGTTGAAGCGGTGACTTTTGGAGACGTTCATTTAGTTGAAACCATCTGCTACTCCAGAGATGTCATTGATATTCATTTTACTAAGGTATTTTCAATAATTCGGTTTGAAATGCTTATTCCACCAATCTCTTAGTTTGTGATAGATGAAAGATCTTGGGAGACGTTATTCCTTGCGAGTTGTCCGTTTTATGCGGATTTTGGCTCGAGCCATAACATGGTCAGATCCATGAGGGCTATTCGTTTCAGCGCAGCGATAGGAACGATTATATAATATAGTACTCTTCCAACGGCGACTGAATAAGATACAATCAGTCTGATTGAATAGTTGGCTACCTGGAGAGTTTCGTGATGTCTTCAATGTCGAAGCATGTATTGGTAAAAAAAAGTTTATACTATCAGGAAAAACAAAGAAGGCTTTCTCCATTGGTCCGATGCCATATTTACCAATTACTGAATCGCCTTGGCGGCATCATGCCTACGCGTGCATTCCAGTCTCCTCTGGTTATGACCATGTTTTTCTTTATACAAATATAGATGTTGTTAATTGAAATTCTGCAACTTACACTTACACTTGTCGCGATCAACTGCGCATAAAATTGAAACAAATGTATTGATAACACATGCGTCGAAACTGCCATTTGTATGTTAGTAAATATTTGGATTCAAAACAATATTAATGACCGTAAATACAAATTAAAAATTGCAAAGGGCCTATAAAGCTGCCTTACGATACACTAAATTTAAGTATATTTAAAGTAAAATTAAATGCTATTAATGCGGACAGTCTGACAAGATAATATTGCTAGTATCGAGAGTAGAGTCTGATCAACAATTACTGCCCTGCTTGCTATGGGCCAGTGAAGTAGTCTATTTAATCATGAGTTATAAGGAATTTAAAAAATGGCGCAATCATCGCAACCGAAGACAAAACTGTTATTTATCAAAATGTAAAGCAGTAATACTGAAAATTAATAACACGTGCAATTAAACGACAAATGCATTCAAATTCAACAATTTAAGTCAAATTAAAATATTCAAGCAAAATCGACTTAAATAACTGGTTGAATTGATGGATTGCCAAATATTATTTTAAATGGAAAATTGAAATTCAAGTTTGTTGAAAAATTTGAAAAAAAATTGTGATAAAGAAGGAGTAAGGAAATGAAAATGGAAATTTATAGCGCCTTCATTTTTGTCGCCTTATTCATTTAACTGTAAAGCATTAGAAAAGTATTATTAAAATTAAATTCCAATAAAGTATTAGAAAAGTACAGCTTTGATACATATGTGAAGAGCAATATAGCCGAGTGGATAGTGGTTGAACATTTCTGCTCTATGGAAAGCTAATCTGCTAAAAAAAAAAATTACCGCTGTTATGCGTTTTAGCGCTTTCAATTTTCGCATGCAACAAAGAACCTCTTGGATTTAAAAAAAATATGGAAAAATCAGTCGATTAAAAGAATAACAATTTTTATAATCTCATATAAATCTAGATATTCTTCATCAAAGTATGTTTATAAAAGATGAAATGAGAAAGTTATTAAATCAAGTTACTTAGTAACTTAGTAATTTATTATTCTAACAATAGCCTTTCTTCTATGCTTTTATAAGAATATGCGTAAACACTTGTAGTCATTTTACAAGGAAACATTTTCCCAATTAAGAAAGAATGAAAAATATGGATGGGTCCAAAATTTTGCTTCTTTCTGCAATAACACTCAATTTTAGTTTGGCTGATGGCTCCACTGGCTAATCTTTCGAATCGAAATGAGACTTCATTCTAGAGTTAGCTGCGGAAAGAGATAAATTGAAACACCGAAAGAGATTTTTAAATTCGAAAGATCTTTAAAAAAGGGTTTACGCCCATTAAGGCATAAGAATTGGATCTATAATAGTTTAGTCCAAACAACATAGCACTCGATCTTACGCCATTTCAGAAAATCAAAATTAAAATCAGCCCCGTTAATTTTAATACATAACGCGAGAACGAAATTCGCTAATTCGCCAATAAGTTTGACACCATCAGTGCTTGTCTGGAATTCTATTTAAGGTGGAGTGCTATATATTTTTCGAAAAAATGCTATTTAAAAATTAGTTAAATGAATTCCGAGCAATAGAAAAACATTGGAAGTTAAACCACCTGTCTTTACTAAATATTTTTAAAAAAGAAAAAAAAGATAAATCAAACTGCAGAAAAAAATCGAAATCAGATATTTTAAATCCGAAATTCAATCAGGAAATGATGAACTGCTTTTATTGAATGAATCGATTACCTTCCTTTTTTCCCACTAATTTGAATCTTCTTGATTTGCTTCTTTAAAAAATGATTTTATAATTTCTACATTAAACATAGTTCAAAAATATTAAAATATAAAAGAATTCTTGGATTTTGGACTTTGAAAAGATTTAAAAGATTTTAATTTGAAAAATTTAATTTATTCTTTCTCATATATATATATATATATATATATATATATATATGCCAAATATTGTAGTAAAATAAATATTTAAATCGATAAAAGATAAAACCATAAATTATGGGAGCAATTCTGAATTTTAGAAGCGAGAAGTATGATCAATATTTCGAAATAGCTCCAGGTCTATTTTAAGTTTTGGCAGATTTCGGAAGACAGGCAATGTAAAAAAGAATTTCTTTAATGAAATGATTCCAAACTGGATCGGTATAGGATATAGAAGTCGATGGAATTCTAAAAAATCTCGGTGGAACTTGAGCGGTCAATGAATAAGTATTCTTCAGATATTCTTACTTGTTTTTTATTTCAAATTCCATATGCATATTTAAATAACAGTGATAACAACAGTAATAATACTGATAATAATAATCAATTTTGTTATCATTAATAAAAGAATGACTAGGAGCAGAATTATGGGCTTTTACTTCGGAGCACCGATGATAGGATTCTTTTTCCGGTAAAAATAAACCATAAAAAAATTTCTTCAGTTGATTTTATTAATTTGATTACTTCAACTGATTTAATTTTAATTACAGAAAAACTATTCTAAAAAAGCGGCCAACTATTAAAAAATGCCCACTATAAAGAAATGTGGGAAATAATGTGAGCCATAAAAGAAGAGAATTAGATTTTTTGATGATCTCTGATGTCGTTGCAATATCTCTTCATTTTTTAACAATTCACACCATGTAATATGTAAAATCTTGGGAATAACATAAAAATTCTAAAGAGATCGATCGAAAAGCATTTTTCTTTGTAGAGGACTGATAAAAGTTCGGGATCTTCTTTTAATGCAAAGAAAGAAGGATAGACTGTAGCTTCCGTCAAGATGAAATGGCGTGGATGTGAGTCCAACCACTTGACGAAAATAAACTTGTAAAATCTTTTTCTTCTTTAAATGGGGGGAGGGGGGAGAAGATTGTTAAATACTCTACTTTTATCCTCAAGCGATTTTGTATTGTAACATTAATTTTGGTAGACCTAACTATAGAAAGAAGAGAATTATTAACATAGTTTAAATAATTTACAACTGAAAATGAAATGAATTATTAATAAATAAACGCTATTGAGTTTCTCTCATTTTGTACTTAATTCAAAGGATTTTCTTTCCCAAATAAAAATTTCTCCTTTCATTTTACTAAATCGATTTTCTACCAAAAATTATCGGACAGAATTAATACACACCAAAGAAACAGCGATTGAAATATTCGTAGTCAACGGTAAAAATTAAAATGAGTTTTGTCTCTGTCAATACCAGAACAAAAATAAACTAATTACTTGCTTTAAAAGTTACTTTAAAGTCCAGGTGATGCTGGCGTCCAATTAACACTTCTATCTGTGGCAAAATTTTTCTGACCTGACAAGTCAACAGAGCAAGCCTGGCAGAAAATGATGATCGATCTTCGAAAATAAAATGGGAAAAGTTTATGTGAAAGACGAAATATGTCACAAAAGCTTTTATAGATAATATTTTGTAAGAATCCCAGTGTTATTAATTTTTTTATAAATAATGTCTTCTTTTTCACCTTTTTCTTATTATTTATATATCACGCAACGTCAGTGGTTAAGTTGGGTTCATTGGCTAAAAGAATGAGAATGATGTATTCAAGCCTTTGGATCAAACGCCGATCACAGCATTATCCGAGTTTTTCATCCCAAATGTTCACCAAAATTGTTAGAAAATTTTATAGCTTTTTTAAATTCGAAAGTAATTCATAAACATTTTCGACTGCCTTTTAACAAATCTTTCAGAATTTTTTGCGAAGGCGATATTTGGTATAGTGCAGGTGGACGACCAAAACTAATCAGGTTTTTGAATGGTTTCCGGGAACAGAATTTGAATTCTTACTTTTCAGTAGATTAGAATCGCTAATCTACGGAAATTTTTAAAGAAAAAAAATTTTTAAAAAAAAAAAGAAAAAGAAGAAAATTTTTGGAAAAAAAGAAATGTAGAATACTTGAAAAAGCACAAAATTTCCTAGAAAAACCAATCTTTTTACTCAAAAAACCTGTTAATACAATATGTTAAATGAAATTCTAAAATAAAACTCATAGAATCTTAGGAAACAATGCGATAATTTTCTTTTTAAATCAATATTTAAAAAGAAAATTATCGCATTATCGATTTTTAAATTTTAGAAAAATAAATTTTTATTTCAAACGTTCCAAATTCAATAAAAATTTAATCAACCTTTTTCAGATTCGAAAAATTCAAGAAATAATAATTTGATGATAAAAATAATTTTTTAACAAAGAAAAAAGAAATTTCCAAAATTTCCAATCACTAAAAATAAAATTTTAATTTATTTAATATTAATAGTTTATTGATTAACAAATTGTTATTGTCGCTGTTATTATTATTAATATCTAAATAATTTTGAAACTAAACTATTATTGTCGTTGTTATTATTATTAATATCTAAATAATTCTGAAACTAGTATTATTAAAATTAAAATAACTCAACGCATTGACGACGCCATGAATAGCATTTCGCTATTACTGTAAGTATTATATTGCAGCTAATATTGTTCCACAAAAAATTGGCAATATTTACTATATTGGCCTTATCAAAATGAGAATAATATGAACCACATAAATCTGATATCAAAAATATAAATTTATATGAATTTATATAATTTATAATAGATGAATGAAAATTTTATTTCGAATTTTGAAAAGTAGTTGAAAAACCTACTATTCCTTCGATTTTTATTCAGCATTTCCATTATTGTTGTCATTATAATATCATCATTATTATTACTAATAGTTTTATCATCATTATTGTTAGACAAGTACAATTAAGCAACTTAATAAAGCTTGAAATTATTGTATTTTTTATGTCAACGAAATATTTATAATAAAATATTTATTTTAATCTTTTCTTTTTCTTTTTTCTTTTTCAGCTTAAATTTATTCAACTTTCATTGATAAATTCTTATCAGTTTTAAGAATTATAAATATATAGATATAAGAATATATATAATATATATAAGAAATCTAAAGAATTATAAATAAATAAAATAAATACAATATTTTTCAAAAGTTGAATGAACTTTCATCGGGAAATGTTAAGAAATCCTTTGTGTTGTAATACAATGCAGAGACTTGTCCCTTAAGCAACAATAGAATGAGAAATAAAAGCTCTGTTGAAGTCGAATGTAAAAGAATTGAAAAATCCTTAAAATTGGATCATATTTCCTTGATGAAAAAATTTCAAAAGCCTTGCCCATCCACGATTTCTTGCTTTTTAATATTGCTAAAAAAAAGGATCTCTTAGATATGCCTATCTTAAAAAAGATTTTTTCCATCAACAATATATTGTAAAATTTTTTGCTATTTGCTGCCGTAAAACGAGTAAATAGTGAAATTAATGGGATTCAAAAATTGCTTTAAATATCACAATGTGAGTTAAAAATTGATTTATTCCTAGATCTAATCTCGCAACTGTTTCCTTTCAGTTTTACTTCATCACTTATGTCTTTCAGAATATTTTCAGTACACTTCGTAATAATATTGTTGCCGACTACAACACATCGTTATTAATTCATAAATTAAATCAAATTAAAAATAAGATATATAATTGCTAAAAAATTTCCATCATTTGACGATTGTCTATTCTTAAAAGTGAGATCGAGTTGGCGTTGTGCATTCACCTATATTTTTGCCCTTGAATTCCCTTATTTTATATTTTTAAGAACTATTAATAAAAATGATGAATGATATTAAGGAAAGAAGGAATAGTAAAAGAAAGAATCGTAAATCTCCAAATCAATTCTTACATTTCTTTAACTTTGTGTCTCAAAAGCATTGTTAAAGGAATGTGAATCTCATTTGATAAACAGTTTTCAATTTATGAATTTGAGTTTTCTTTTTTTAGCAATGAAAGTAATAACTGCAATGACGATTCAACTAAAAATAAAAATAATCGAGTACAAAATATTTTGATTTAATCCTTAGTCGTTCTAAATCTATGAATCCTTTAAAATAAATCCATTAGCTCGAGATTCGCTAATATTCACTAATATTTATTAAAGAATATGAATAGAATATGAAAGGGAAAAGTATTAAAAATTATTCCAAAATTGCAGTTAATTCGTAAAACAAAAGAATGAAGAAATTTTGTTCTTATCACGCGATAAACTTGTTTCTGTTTTATGCCATCCGGCAATGAGAATTTGTATGAATTTTGTATGTCTGAGAATATTTATCAAAATTATCAATCGCAAAAATTAATGATTACCTTCGAATTAGTACAATTTGAGGATGTGCACGCATATAAATCAATATTTGGTAATTTAATGACGAGAAATGAATTATGTGTTTCAAGCGGATAGATCAAAATTGGGTGCCAAATAGCAGCGGTATGTCGTTGCTGTCGATGCTGATTACAGTATAACTGTAGAATATATAGCGGTTCAGTTGAATTCATTGTGACCGGTGATTTATTGACAAAATTAGCATTTTTAGGTAATTGTACTGAATAAGGTCGTGAGCTTTGCGTAATAATTTTTGCTAATAGTAATAAATTTGGTTTTTCACGTTGTAGATATTGTTGAAGAATTATGTGTAAACTTGAAGAAATAATTTGCGAATTACATTTCGACGTATCATCAAGTTGATTAAGTAAAGTGGTTAATGACGTTCCAGATACTGCATGAACAAGTCGTAGAGCATTCAATACGAAGAAAAACACGACCAACAACAGCATCTGGATTGACGATGCTTTTCAGGAAAAAGAGAACACCAGAAGCCTTAAAATCGATTTTGCTGGATGCTTGTCGTTGTCTTGTCCTTCATTTCTCCTCACTCCGCCTTCGATCGAATATATCCTTCATTCTCATTCGACTTCAACTCCTTTAATTAAAAATTATCATCTATCAGTTTTCTCTTATCAGTGGATATATTTTATTTTAGATTTTAATTATCTTCTCGATTTCATACAAATTTTTGCATTTATTAGCTTCTTTTTCTTTTTTTTCCATTAGAAAAGATGAAAATATTTTTTTTGCGAAAATTAACAGGAAATTAGCGTTTAGCGAAAAAAATGTTTATCAGCTTTTGTTCCCACTTTCAGAGTTTTTCTTCACGGATTGGTACTATTTATTATCCACTTGAAGTACAGGTAATTTATTTATTTATAATTTATTTATACAATTATGTAATGAACAACAATGGTTCAAAATTTGATATATCTGAATTGATATATATAAACTTCATGGATTCATTTGAGCGGCGTTTGTGATTCCTTTCATCCCTAAGGGGGATGGAATGGTTCAGTGGCCTGTTCCTCAATTTGAAGCGCCGATGCTGAGGTTCTGTTCTCCGCAGAGTAAACATGCCAAAAATTCGAATGATGCTGGCGACTCACCTGTACTTCTATCGCTAAGGGATTCCCATGCATATTTATCCGATATGACAAGCCAGTGGATGAGTTTAATCAGTAATGGTGAGAATCTTGAAAAAAAACTTCATGGATTCATTTGAATGGCGTTGATGTGAAAAGTTTCACTATGTGTGGAATAATGAGTGGAAGCAATTATGCTAGAAATGGTGAATAGTAAAGTAGGAACAATGCTGGCTTATTTTTAAAATGACATATGATAACATTTGGATAACTGGCTTATAGGAATTGAAGAAATCTAGTCATGCATTTTTGATGAAATATACTTAGATTTATTAAAGAGTTATTCAATTGAAATAGCTATTCTTATATATTAAATCTGAATGCTGGTGACCATCTATGTATATTTCTATTGCCAAGTGATTTCTTGGGAAAAACTTCCTGCCGTATAGAGCAAGTGAAGTTAGCCTAAGAAGAAATGGTGGTGCATGTCTAAAAACAGCATAAATGTATATAAAATTTTACTGTATCTTTTAACATTTCATTTAAGTGTTGATTTCAAATCAGCCAATTAAATATATTTATTTATATAAAATCTTTAGAATCAATCTTTCTGGACAAATATTTCTTGTCTTGCTTAACATACAGTTTTATCACTTAAAATCAATGATTTCTCAATGTATGATGATTTGGTCAAGAAAATGAGACAATCCTATTAGTCTTCTTCTTCGAATCATTCATCGTTATTCACCATTATTAATTTAGTTGACTCTATTGGCTCTTAGAAACCATCTCACTAGAGAGTCTTTTGGAAATAAATGTAAGTGTTGATGGCAGTTGAATGTATATTTTTCTTGGAAATACATATTTTAATTCAATGGATATGAATTATTTTTGGTTGAATGCTTCTCGATATTTAATTAATAATCAATAAAAACTTTTTAATATTAATGAATGTGGAAGATTAAGCTTAAAATTTGATCCATCCTATCGCAAAGTAATTCAACAATTTTCATTTTCACACACACTCGCTGAAGCAAAAAACTTAAGGCTTATATTGTATTTCATAAAGAGAAACAACCTGAAATTAAAAGAGCCTTCAACACTTATATTTCTATTTGAATTTCTATTTCAATTAAAGAAGGGACTGATTAAAATAAAAAAAAAATTTCAATTTATTTTAGCCTTGAAGTTATTGAAAAAACAATTTTGGAAAAATAAAAAAAATTCAAAATAATTTCATGGATTCTACGAAATATTTTCGTGTCCTTGTGAATTATTGCTTTTTTTTCGGGAGTTCATCATAAAATTTTTCACAAATTTTCAATTCTCTAAAATATTTTTAATAAAATATTTCTTAAGGGCTTTTTTGAATTAAATAAAATTATAAAATTATAAAATTTACTGACTTATAGATTCAATATGAATGAGCAAATTTATTTAGTAAACCAGGGATTATTAATAGCCAGAATAGCCGATTATTGCTATTTAGACCACCACATGGAACAATCCTGACTTACCTTCGGCAGAAGCAAGCTGGTCCTTTAAAAATTATACTAACCATTGTTTGAGCTTTTAAAAAAAATAGAAAATATGCCTTCTTTTTTTCGTCATCTATTATCATTGATAAATCAAACGGATAGATAATTAATCAAAATGCTGATTTTTACCAGAATATTAGCGAATCAAAAATGGAAGTAATCATAACCAAATTTTAAATAAAAAAAATAAAAAATAGTAAAAATATTAGCTAAAAATAAGACAAGCTTAATTATACTAGTAGAACTAAATTAAAATAGATATAAAATGAGCGATTACGTAAATCTTCGAATAGGGACCTATTAAATTCATTAGACTCGCCTATCGTATGTTAAGAAATTTTCTATTAATATATGATCCTAGAGTCATAATGCCTCTAGATTACAACCTTCTTTGTATTATAGATTAAAATAGTCACAGAATCGGATTAAATTAATTGAAATCAAAGAATTAAAGAAATTCTTTGACCAAAATTTATTTCCAGAAAAACGATCCCGATTTGCATAAATTTATCAGAATTATGTAAAGCTGATGGTACATTAAGGAATCAACCAGTGTTTTATCTAAACTGAAAAAATAAATCCATATTGATATACAATTTTCTCCCAAATTCAATAATTTGCCAGTTTTAATTTAGAAATATCTTTCATAAGAATGTGTGAAAACGAAATGGCATAATTACTAAGGTAAGATGGTAATAACTAATAGCTTTTCACATTTCATATCAATTCTTCTTATAACCAAACATATTATGGCAAAATTATGCTTAAAAAATAAATTTAGCTTTTCGTCTTATATGAAAGAAGTTTATAAAATACCTATTATTGTCAACTCAAAAAAAAAACTAGTTGAGGAAGTGCCAGACTTTAAGTATTTTGGATCCTCTCTAACTCCAAACGGCCAAGAGAAAGACGAAATTGCAATCCGGATGACGTTCTTCTTGTTGGAGAAAACTTTGTGAAGTCATCGTAAAATCACAAAAACGAAAGCCCTCGTTTAAATAGCTATGATTCAAGCGATCTTACTATATGATTCCAAGCCGATGAGAGTTAAGAAGTTATCTTCCTTTGACCATTCATAAGTCTAAGAAGATTTTAGTCCACCAAGCATATAAAATCTCACCTAGTTGCATTAATAATACCATCATGATAATAATATCACGTCATCTTCGCTAGTTAGGGGACGTTCTTTATCACCCACTACAGAAGCTGACATATATTTCGCCGATTATACTCTATGATGGATGACATCAAAAGCGAGGAGGACTAATCAAAACTTGGACTGGTACAGTCAGAAAGAAAGTTTTGAAGGCTCAAATGGACCAGTGATATATGAACTTAAATGGTGGAAAAATGAATGGCATTTATTGCTGTTGATGGCGCAGATCGCGCAGCTTGGAAACGTCTTACATTTACATCTTATATCCTTACACGTAGCCGGTGACGCCAGCGTAATCATTAATGGTGTGAGTAAGAAAGCCACAGATTTTCAAATCGCATGATCTAGTGATAAAAGATCTTATATATTTCCAGTTTATCAAAATTACTGATAAAGCGATGAAATATCCAAATGATAAATCAAAATAATTGTATTTACATTTAACCAATGGCCAAATAACAATAAATATAAATGCTTTATCAAGTAACTTTTCTTAAATTCTTATATATTGAATTATCTTGTGTAGTCCAGGAAAATTGAAAAAGTTAATAGATCAGAGATTTTACTTCTTTTCCATCTATATCTATATCCGTGTATTTACACGCTCTCTACCAAAATACAACTCTCTACCAAAAGGATTTCACCCTAAAAAAGCTTGATGGAATCTGATAAATAATGAAATTTTAAGCAAATAGTCACTATAATATAAATAGAATTCTTAACACTACCTGGACTTCACTTTTTGATAAAGCTTTTTGTCTAGAGACATGAACAGACTGCGACGACGAATTCGATCTCAGATGAAATAATTACCAATCGGCTCAAACATCATTACTACTGAATTATCATTAGCGACTGTTTGAAGTGCAATAACGTAACGATACTCAAGGAAAATGTTTATAATAAATATAATCATTGCAAATTAAGGAAACATGAAAAGAAAATCAATTCACAAGCAAAGTACAATACGAAATTAAACGAAGTGATAAAAAAAACTCGTTGCCAGATCGGTTTATTGTCGGTTTATGCAAGCTTTACATTATATATTAATTATTTCATATCACTGTACATAAATTGAGTAATAAAAACCTGAAAGTGGAAATTCTTAGATTTTCAATAATTTTTAATATTTTGCATTTACTTCCATTAATAAAAATAATAATGGTGGGCTTCATTGGTGCTTATGAAATTCATAAAAGGAAGTTCTCTACAAAATTTTTTAATAAAGAATCATATAAGAAGCGTTTATTGCTCATTATTTCTGGTTATGCTACCTTCACTCGTTATACATATGGTTAGGAATTTTTGCCGTGGAGTCAGTTGGTGATATTATAAAATAGGATGAGATGAAATTTCGATCCATAAAAACACTTTCTCTTGTATGAAAAGAAAAATCAGCAGGCTAACAAACCAGCTGCTTCTTCGTTCTGAGAATTAGAACTGCGCAGTTCATTAAAAATTAAAAATTAACATTAAAAATCGCTTTAAAGAGTACGATCCACATTTTTTTAATGCCAGGTTTTCGATCCTACAAGAAATGTGATCTGAACTCTTACCTCAACACGATAATCTGAGATACTACCCACTTATTTCATTCTATAGCTTTTTTAAGAAAGAAAAGTTTAAAAAAAAAAAGTTGTTTAATAATTTGTATATAATAATCTAAAACTTTTTATTAATAAATTTTTTTCTTCCAGAATTTCAAAAAAATAAATAATATATAATATATAGAAAATAATAATAAATCACCAAGGAATACAACGAAAAATGTAGGAAATGTGAATCTTGAAATGAGATCAACTCGCTTGCTAACATCACTTGTAGCACCAAACCAAGATCGAAAAACACTCGTCGAATGCCACCATTTTCGCTTTCTATATAAGCTCATATCTAAACGCATTGATGGAAATCCAATCTGGAATTTTCTACAATACATTTTCATGTTAAAGCATTAAGCATTTAAGAAAATGCATATTTTGATACTTCAACCAAGTTTGAGCTTCATATTGAAAACAAGAGAAAGTATAGTTTAAAATATTAATCGACTATCCTATTCACAATCATTGAGTCTCAAGATTTCTTAAAAATAAATACCTGAGGTAAAGTTTGACTGGGAGCGCAAAGACAATCATGATACTTAGTATTTTTTTCCTTCTTTTCTTTTCTTAAAAATTCCTTACGCCCATGATAATTTACAAGGGCATATTCGAGAAGTGCACCAAAAATGAAAGCAAGACAAACACCAATCCATACGTCAACCGCTTTGATGTATGATACTGGAGGCAATTTGGAATTTATTCCAGAAGCTTGAGTTGTCATCGTCAAAAGTGTTGTGACACCGAGTGATACTCGTGCAGGAACTGCATCCTGTTAATTCTCCAGCAATAGTTAACAGTAGATATTAGATATTAAAAGAATCTAATCTAATATCCAAATTTTTACATAGCTTTTTTTTGTAAATTTTCATATACATAAGTTTAGAACAAGCGTTATAGAAAAAATAGGAAATACAAAGCAAAGAAATGAAACATTTTTAATTTTAGAGTGGCCCTATTGGCCAGTAAGATAATATTTTTGACAAATGCTCAAAATCTTTCTAAAAGGCAATTTTATAACTGGAAACCCATAATTGAAATAAAAATTTAATGAGCCTAATGCAAACCTTGTCCAGCCAGAATGAAACCCATGAAACGACGACTAGCATAATGCACGGAATGTAGAGCTGAATTAAATAATAACTAAGAGCGAGTATACTTGCAAGGAAATATGAAACCTCTTACCTGTATTCTCTGCGAAGTAATAACTTGACACGAGCACAACTGTATTCGCCTGCAAAGCAATAAACATATCGAGCATTAAGTACACTTCGAGAGAAACAAGTACTAATATTACAGTGATATACAACAAAAATATTCTTGATAATTTGCAGAATTTGTTAAATTTGTTGAGAATTTGAAGAAAATTGATGCGAAGTTTAAATGAAATAAGTGAAGTGAAGATGATTTCAGGCAACGAGGCGAGCTGAGACTACATACATATGAATGTCATCTCAGACAAGATAAACGGCCCAATATAAAACTGAAAATTAAATATTCAAACACACCATACATACACATGCAATAAAATAGTTATTCCAAAATCACCGCAGTCAAAAAATTTAAATTAGAAATTAGAAAGAAACCAAAAGCGCTGTATTTTCAGATCAAGAAAAGATAAAGAACCACTTTTTGAGCCAAAATAAGAAAGGAACTAAATAGTTAGATTAACTTTTTATAAAAAACTATGAAAATTATGACTCTGAAATTTATCATAAATTTATCATAATAGATTCCAACTTAGTATTTCAAATAAGAAAAAAAGCAAGAAAGGAGCCTTATTATTAAGATGCTCGAAGACATACCATTGAAACAAGCGTAGCCAATCGGGAACACCTAAATAAATGTTAATTAAGCGACATCCATGCGTAAGCCAAAAGGAGAACAAGCATTAGAATATTACCAGCCGAGAGACGACATCAATCCTTTTTGAACGCTCCTTGTATCGACGCACAAACAAATGAAAACAACAAAATGAACGTGAATTTGTGGCGACCAGTGGTTGATAAGATGAAGAGTATTCAGTGAGTGGATAATGTTTTGGCTGAAATGCTCCATTTTACATCAATTGCACCACTGCACCATTTCTTCTTCGCTATTGCCCCATATCGTTTCTTCCAATGAACTCACGAAATCAGTTATTAAAAAGACAAATAACTGGATTACTAGCAACCAGCATAACTAGCAGCACAAACCATTCGTTGACCAGTAGTCATATCTTTTCGAGCAGCATAATTTACTAATGCAAATTCCAAAAGCGCTCCAAATATGAATGCCAAGCACACGCCAATCCAAACATCTATTGCCTAAAAAACTATAAGCTTGCTAACCACAAAAAAAAAATTTGCGAAGGAAGACAGAAACGACAACCTTAGTATACGACACAGGTGGTAATTTAGCGTTGATACCCGAACTCTGCGTTGTCATTGTAAGTAAAGTAGTAACACCTGGAAAAAAGCAAGGGAAAAGCCAATTCAATTATCAATTATCAATTCAAAAGCAGATCAAATAAAACAAAAAGTGGTGTCATACATACCGAGCGTAACACGTGCAGGTACAGAATCCTTGTCGAGCCAAAAGCTCACCCATGAGACGATCACGAGCATAAACGATGGAATATATAGCTGAAACATTAGGATTTCGAAAAAAAGGAGGTGAGGAACCAAAAAAAATCAGCCAGAAAAAGCAAAAATGACACAGCACACACCTGTAGTAAATAATAGCTGAATTCTCGACGTAAAATCATTTTCGTTCGTAGGCAACTGTATTCGCCTGCAAAGCCATGCAATTTTGTTATGAGCTAAGATTTTATATTACATTTTTCTAAACATGAGGCAGATTCTCTTACCTGTATTTGTTTTGCTCGTGCAATAATCAGTAAGTACGTCCTGTAATTCAAAACTTGGCAGACTTTGTCTTAAACCTTCTTTTTGCTGAATAGGATTCGTTAATTTCCATTCATATTTAATATCATCTGTCGTATATGCATCTAAAATTTTATAACGAATCTTATCGGAAATTTATAAAAGATATTTTGATTTACATTTTTACATTTACATTCTTTACATTTACATTATTACAGCATTTACACTTTTTCTAATTTTCGGTTCTTTCAAATTTTTCCAATTTTTCAAATACTGTAGGAAAAAAATAACCAATTAGGAAATCACAGAAAAAAAGATGGCGACCAGGAGTCCAAAGTCATTGGAACCAGTTTAAATCAGTTTTATAACCAATTTTTTATACTCATAGTTAACTGCGTATTTTATACGAAAAAAAAGTTCTAAAAAGAGGTGGCAAAAATATAAAAATTATAAATTTTAAATAAATTTTTCAAGAAAATTAAATTAAAAATAGAAAATTAAAAAAATTAAAGAAACAAACAACTAGCAAGATCGATAAGGCATGTTTGGCGATCAAGTGGATAATATTCTAGTGACATAGGACAAGAGAGTACTAACGATAACCTGAAATTAGAAAAGACATTCGGAAAGAAAAATGCATATTCAAAAATGCACAAATCTTCAACTTCAACTCATGAAATAGTCATTCTAATTGGTCATTTTTTTGTTACAAGACATTTGATATGGTAGAATCCAGTTGCAAGCTTAGAAGTGATTCTAATCCAATTCTGCCTTGATTATTTTAAGTCTTTGATGAAGAATAAACCTGCCGCTGATGCTAGAAGCAAATCTCTCCGCCGATTCCCAAATCACTCTTTGGTGAATTGTCTCATCTTACTTGTAGCCCCTTTTTAATTTGACATTGACAGCATATATAAATAAAGAAAAATCACCTGACACTATAAAGAATTTGACCATTCTGATGTATTCGAATCAAAACATTCGGCTTATCAATTAAGTGTCTCCTTGCTTCTCTTTATAAAAAAAGCTGATTAAAACTTATTGAATACTGAAGATCGTTAAAAACTGTTCGTTTCATTTAGATTTTCTGCCATTTAATGAATTTTATAAAGGTTTTTTTCTTTACTCTCCTTTTTATTATGTGTTAAATAGATTTGCGCCTATTATTGAAAAATAGACTTGCTCCTGAACACCTTAGCCTTTTCCCATTATTTAAGAATGGTCAAGTATAAAGCCTTGATTAAATTCGATCAAAAATTTGTTCCACCAATAAAAGAAGTAAACCTGTTATTGAAAGTAAAACCCCAATGATGAATCTATATTTTTAGATTCATCCCTTAGTTGCTGAGGAGTCGACCAGCAAATCAAATTACAAATTGCTTTTCTTGAACGGCGAAAAAAACCTTTAAGCTTCTTTGAAAAATAAAAAATTGACTTCGTTATTGTCCTATTTTCCATACTTATTTAAAGAAAATAAGAGAAATATTTAAAAATACTTTTCATTTTGAAAGAAAGTATCAGGCATCCAAATTTGCTGAGTTGAATCCGCCTGTTCACTGGTTGCTAAAATAACAAACGGAGGAACTTGAGTATTTTCGTCTGCAAAATGTTCATAGGCTAATCGAGCATCACGCCATTCCTCTCGAAAAGTGAACTGAGCACTATATTCCATATTGACATCATCAATTTTCGATATCGATCTGAGGTATATATTCACTGACACCAACACTGGACCGCCAGTATCTAAAAATTTTATTAATGATTGATGGACTGAGGTTGGTGCTCTACCGCATTTCAACGGAAAATATCCATAAGATAAGAAGAAAAAAAGAACAATAAAATTTCACATTTTTCAGATTCTAAAATGAGATGAGACATACTGGAAACTGGAATTTCAATTCTAGAAACTAAGGAAAACGCGTGATGTTGACTTCAAATTATGCTGTAGGCGCTCATTTTATTTTAAAGTTGGCTAGGTTAGAGATGACAATTTAAAATATGATAATTAACAATATAAGCTTCAACTCTTTAAGAGGTTAAAGTGGAATGCTGAATATAATTAGCAGAAAGTGGAACTTGTACGAAAGAATGAGAAAAAAATATGTGAAGTTAAATATTTTAGTTTAGAGTCGAGAATTAAAATTTAAAAATATTGAATACGATTGCACATAGAAAAATATAAGGTCAAGCATTATGTTTTACTTTTTCCCGATTGATGGATTCCCTGATGGATCGATCAAAGTATTAGTATAGCCTGTATTGTATTTTATATTTTATTATTCATTATTGATTGGATTTATCTTGCTTTTTTTTGGAAAAATCCTCAGATTCTTCAAGTTCTGCAGTTTCTGTAGTCTTATATTCAGTAGATAATAGTAAATGGTAGAAATTTTCTTTTCTAAAAAATTTTCCTTCACAAAAGGTTTTTCATTGTATTCCTCATAAACTTTGTCGTGTCATTAAAATCAAACTCGAGTGGCTGTTGAGGAGCACTGCCATCCCCAAGTAACTCTATGGCAAATGAGTCTAATAAGCCAAAAGAGGTATTATGGTGCGCATGGCACTCTTAACTCGGTGGTATATGTGATAAATATGCAAACCGAACTTGGGCACAACAATATTAAAAAGGGTCATGAAAGTTCTTAAGCGAAGAAAATTGCTTCATCCCATCTATCCCACCCTAAGGAAATCAACTACTCTGTTAGCACTTGGGATAGTTTTGGCTGTAGCTAAGTCAGAACGCTTATGGATATTGAAAGCCAGATAATAGATGATTACCACCATATCCAAATATTGTGTGGACATTTTTTGCCCTTTCGGAAATACCATCATTTTAATTCCGGGTCCAGCGCAGTTATATCTGGTTCCAATAATAACTACTAGAAGTACTATTCTGTTTCGGATAATTCAAGCATAATTAGAGTCGCGATTTTCATCCAGCGCGATCAACTCTAATCGTATGGAGCTCTGTGAAAGACCGGTTGACCTACGCCCAACATGTTTTTAAAGGCAAGGTACTATAATAACTAGAGGATACTTCTAAAACGTCCGGAAATGATCCTACTTGAAGTTGAGCCTTCAGAACCATTGACTTGGGTGTAAAACGATCTTGGATAAAACGGTTAGACTATCCACTCATGCAGCCTGAATGCTAACTATCGACAGCTCTGGCCACGGTGAGGCGAGATAAAAATATATACTCGAGTGTGGGACCATCGAAAACTATTCAGTCTCTTTCGCAAGGCAAAGAGCCAGGGAAATGAGAGATAACGACGACTCGTTAAACAAATCCCGTCAAAACCATAGATCTATGAAAAAATCATTTCACCCGATGGAAAGAATTCCTTGAATTTTAACCATGAGGAGTCATCCAGCATCTCGAATGAGAATGGAACGCCGAATTATCCGAGTATGAAATAAAGTCTATAATTTATAACCCAAACATGCAGTGAATCCGGAGAAGATGGCATACAAACTGAAATCTTGTTGTCCAGCGTCCTTCATGATACATCTACAGAGATTATATTCACTGATGCTGGAAAAGGAGAAAATGCCATGACTGGAGCAAGGCAATTTTGCTCCCAATCTCCAAAAAAGGTGAGGAAGCACTGTGAGCATTATTGAGGAGTCATATTTCTATCTTCAAGGGGCTCATCAGCTCAACAGTCTTAACCCAGTGAGAAATGGTGAACTACTGAAGGATGAAAAGAAGAAATAAAAAAATATCAAATATATATCCGACAATACCCGGAATTTAGCTGATTTAAGCTTGTTTGTGCAATTTTATTCAATTTTGTATAGGACTAATTTTATATAGCCCATGCCTAGGACTAGCTCCTGGTTTAATCCTAAGCCTTGGCCAAAGGCTTGGCCAGGGCCAAATCCTTTACCAAGCCTCGGAATAGTTCTTCCATGCCTAGGACTAGCTCTTGGTTTAATCCTTGGCCAAAGGCATATATTTGATATAATAAAATAGCAAATTTTCATACAAATTTTCTCGATTTGAGGCCACAATGGTATAAATTTTCAACAATAGAAATTAACTCTGCAGTGAAAAAAAATTACATTTTCCAGAAAAAATGGTTTATATTGTTAAAATAAAAAGAAAAGAATAATGACGCATGATGATGATGCCAAATCTAAGTTTCATTAAAATAAACCTGAGTTTAAATTATATAACTTTCTTTATACTTTAATTATGTTTAATTGCTTATTATCATGCTTATTATCCGCATCTTTCCTTATTTTTTAAAAGCGCGATTCGTTTATATAATATTTGTTCCTGGTGGGGGATTCAGCTGATGATCTCGATATAAGCAAGAAAAAATTTTTGAGTCTTTAACTAAGACACAAAGAAAAAACCTTATAAAAATTACCATGGAAATGAAGGGAAATTTTAAAATTTTTTTCCGATCTGAAAAGCATTTTGATGAATTCATAATTATTAAATGTAAACCAAAAAAATCATCACTTGTAGATTATTTTTCTGACCACTGAAACAAGAGTAGGAAATTATTTAGAGATAGAAGTGAGTGGCTTCTTAGCGTTACCTCATGTCAATGAAAAGAGGAACTTTTAAAAAAAGTTTATCGATAAAAATCTAAAATAATCGTGAAATTCATGATAACCACTGAAAAGGCCGTAATAAATAATACGAAATGGAATGAGAAAATAATAGGCAAAACGAGAAAACGCAAAAAATAAATGAGAGCGAATCGGAAAATGCACAAAAAGAAGGTTATAATCATAAATTAACAAAATAAACAAAAGATTATCGAAAGATAAATAGACGAATCAATGGAATCTAATGGATTTGTGGAATAAGGTTTATATTCGATGTTACCGTATTAATAAAAATTGGAAAAAAAATTCTTAGATTTATTAAATTTTTTCAAAAGGCTTTTACGTTCGAAATGAAAGTGAAAAAAATTTTTTTAGAAATCACCAGCATCATCTGCTTTTAAATTTTTATTTGGGTAACACCACTTCCTTTTACGACTAGACAATTTCGCTAGAGAGTTCTTGGGATAGACTAGTTTAATCAGACACAAAATCAGAAACGATACAAGAAACGAGGAAACCGAAACCAAGAGGCCTCAGTCGAAGCAAAATAATATTCGACTATAGGCGTCCTGAGAATGACAGTATGGTCATAAAAACCACATAAAAAAGTAAATACCATAAAAAATAAAGTAAAATAAATAAAAAGTGAAATAATTTGCAAAAATTAATTGTGTTAATTAAATAATTAATACAATATCAAAATAACTGACAAAATAATTTAAAAAAATAATTTCTGATTGTAGTATATTTAAATTAAAAAAAAAACAATTGCCCACCTGGCCAAGACTGATTGTTACCACGAGGCCTTACTCTCCAATCGTAGTCTTTTAGAGCTCGTTGTATGATATCCTGTTCCTTGAGCTTTTTTTTAGCATTAATTGCAATTATTGTTGTAAGAAGGAACAACGAGGAGGCCACTAGTGGTTCAAAGCGCATTGTCTTGAAAAATATATTTATGATTGATTTATCTTCTCCTCCGCTGTTTTCTTCAGTTTTTCCCCACCTTCTAATTTCTAACTCCTACATTTTATTTTATTTTATTACTATCTATTTTATTACATTTTATTACATTTTATACTGTCTATTATCGACAATATTGACATTATATACATTTTTTTTTTATTTTTTAAAGGCTCTTCCTAATATTATCTATAATTAGAAAAAATTTCTGCAAAATAATTTGAATTTTACGAGAATTTTGTTACATTATACCCTGTTCAATTACCTCAACTGTTCGACTGTCCATGAAAAAAACATAATTTTTAATTGTAGACGTATTTTAAATAAAAAACGGTAACGATGCAAAAACGGAAAATAGATAACTTCAAGAAAACAAAGTCGTACTTGATCCAATGAAACGAATCAATTTCAATAATCGGATTTTGTGCCAAAAACTACAAATTTCAATGTTCACTGGAGTTTAAATAGATTTGTGGTTTATTCGTGGTGAATAATACGATTTTATTTTCCAAAAAAAACGCAAAAATACCTTTTAGATTTATTCAGTACACCATAAATTCATTTGAACAGTCAATCAAAAAGCACTTTATAGGAATTATTATCACCAAAAAAATCACCAATTCCTGAAATTAAATTCCTGAAATATCAAAAAAATGAATCTCAGTTGTGCCCACTCGATTAATATTCGAAATATACACTTGAAAACAAAAATAAATATGGAAAATAGATTAAAATATTCGATATCAATGGGGAAAAATGCGCAAATAAAAGTTTCTTAAGACCTATTTAAGTCGTGGCAGTATTACTTTCGAAAAAAACACTCAAATACCTCACAGTGAAATGGCAAGAGACAGCAATGGCATAAGAATAAGAGTTAAGAATATTAAGTACCGCATCTTTGAGGCCAAACTTAACCATGAAGCGCCATCTGCCCGTGACATAACTGATACGTTCGCTGAACCATACGCTTGCGATTGTGAGCATCCAATAGAAGAGATAATCTCAGTTTTATCTCAGTTTTATAGCTGCGCTCTTTTGATTCTCTTTTGATTTTATAATTTAATGAAAAATATAAAAATGAAGTTTTTCTTATCAAGTTTTCACGCTTTAATCACACTATATATTTATAGCCCAAACTAATTCTTTTTCAGCCATTGCGGATCAAAAAAGACCAAGGCAAAGATGTTCAAGATGTGCATATACATGAAACGAACATCAAAAATTTAAAATTTAGTAGCTAATAGCTGCTCACATACATGCGCATACACACGCACATACGTACACGTATAGAAGCACACGCAAACATGCACACATACACACACACAAACACATTCAGACATATACTTAATTTGAAG